CTATTGTTTATGACCTTCTGCATGCAGGCGACCTTGCCATGCAACCAACGGTCACGGGATCTGCCTACATCCTTAAAAAGTGAGATTTTTTTTTGGTTTTTCTCATTTTCTCCTCGTTAGCCTTCTCCTTCGCCATTTTCTCTCTATTTTGGCACTTTCGTAGTTTAGGTCAGATCTTGGGCACTTTGAAGGCTCTCCTTGGCGATTTTAAGAGTTGTTGGTGGAAGTTAACTTTTTAATCTATCATCTTTAGGAGCTAGGGTTTTGGTCACTCTTTTCATCTCAATCTCTCTTTTTCTTTATGATGCTTTTGGTAGAGAGTGGGAGTAGAGGAGGTGTTCTTGAGAGCTTTGCATTTTAGGTTTGGGAGTCTAGCTTGATGATCTGAAGTCTTCACCAAATGAAGCTCAAGATTTGGTTTGGAACCTTGATTCAATACAAATCTAGCAATGCGAATTCTAGTTGCTTTGAAAAACTATATACACGTCAAAATCATCTTATTTTGGGTATTGAACACAGTTTCATGGATTTATGTCAAATGTATTTGGAATTTGTGATTATTTGATCACTGGGTACATTTGTGTCTGGGGAAACAACTTTAAATGAATCTTGTAGATGTTCTGGTTGACGTTTTACCATATTGTTGGGTATTCGTTATATTTGGGTATTTAGGCACTTTTGCCTTTATGATACCCTAAAATATTTACCTTTGAGTTTTGGTGCATATAAAGATGAAAATCACTTGAGACTGGTATTATTTGACCCTTTGTGTTTATTTGTTAAGGTAAAAGCCATGCCTACGCTTTTGGAGTATTAGAAGGGTACTCGCGCAATGCAACGAGATACATCTTGATTTTAATATTTTATTTTATTTTTTAACTCAGTCGATGTTATAATATGATCTTATGTGATTTTGAGAAAACAATGATGTTTTTATTTTTGAATAAAATATAAATTTGAAGATATTATAAAAATTTGACAAAAATATATCGATATTAGTACAAATTAATTATTTAAAATTCCTCATTTTTTGTGTAATTTTTTAATTCAATTTTTTTATTATAATTTAATTTAGATACAATAACGAAGTAATTTATATTTAGTTTAATAATATAGTTTTCCTATGAAGATAATAATAAATTATTTTGTTAGAAGTCGATAATTATTCCAATTATATATTAGATTTTTTATATTTTAAAATGAGATGTTTATCCTGTATTTGATTATGTTTATCCGCAGTTAGTTATACGAATTCAAACATCGAGCTTTAATAAGTTGTATTTATGCATAATTTAATTGTAATCTTGAATTTTAAGTAATATGCATCAATAAAAAAAGTACTTTATGTATAAAAAATGGGTTTTAAGAGTTTTTGTCAAATGTCTTGTAATATAATATAGATTTATACTTTTAAACCATTGGGAGAGATTTTACAAAGGAATACATGAGATGTTGTACAACAATATTTATATGGATTCAACCATTTAGGGTCATGGTGATAAAATTAATCTCTCTTTGGAGCTATAAATGGTGTTTCATGGATTTATGTTGGTTTTGAGTATCCAAGTAAATCGTAGAGTTTATGTATGTAATATTGATTCAAATGAGTTTTTTAAACGTGACCCAACCTAAATGGTTTAATAATGTCATTTGAACGGGAGTTGCATATTTTGCTTACTTGACGAGAATGACATGTTTTGAGCTGGTTTATCATCCAATGTCGAGTCATATAATTGTAGGGTATAATGCAATAAATCCATAAGCATGTGAGTCAGTCATTTGTGATAAGCGAGGAGTTTTGATTTTTTGACTTTGAGACCAATGTCCAAGTTGGTATTGTGGTAGTCTCGGTATTGCGGAGAAGAAACTCGTGTATTGTTGGACTCCAGGACCGTGGATATTGTAGAGGTGATCTCTTGTGAGTCGGACTTCGAGACCCTGGTATTATGATGATGAACTTGTGAGGATTCGAACACCGAGATCTTTGTTTTGATGCTTCGGCCTAGTAGAGTTGACACTAAGTCATCGAGGGTATTTTGGCGATGAACTTGTGTAGAGTTGGGCCCTAGGACCATTGTCTTGTAGGTGTAACTCTATGGTGTGTAGGTAGGCACTAAGGTTGGCGGTATTGCAGAGGTGAACTTGTGTGGGGTCGAGCATAGGCTCTGATACTTTAATTGTTGCGGTGGAAACTTGAGAAGAGTTAGAGACCGGGACCGGGACTTTACGGTACTACTTGATAACGTTGACGCATGACTTACTTTGTGTTCTGTCATAGTCGATAGAGAGAGTCTCATTCGTTACCGAAAGGTGTTGTTTTGGGTATCAGGTCATATATGTTTTTGGTGATTTGAGGTATAGAACATTATTTTTATTTTGGGTGTTTTGTGGGATGAGTCTTATCCACTTGTTTTGGGGTGGGTTTGGATGTCGGATTTTAATCTAAAGCGTCTGTTTCAATCATTGGATTTTATTTTAGAACCGGTGGGTTTTGTAAAGATACGTTTTTTTTTAAATATGCTTTTAAATAAAGGAGTTGATGGTTAAAGAGAAACCTTCAGGTTTTACTGTTTTATGTTTATATTATAAACTGCTTTAACTCACTAGGCTTAAGCCTAATATTTTTTCTTATCAATATGTATATCAGATATTAGTAGGATCTGAGTGAAGTTTGGAGCTTTGTAGAGGTTCCGTTAGGATGGCTTTAGATGCGTTATCCAGTTTTGAAGATAACATATTTGATTGTTTTAGTAACATCCGATCTATTCTAATTCTATTTGGAAATTAAATAGTTCAATTTAAAACCCTCATACTAATCTAGTTCTCCTTCATTGTAAACTTTATGTATTTCTGTATTAAAGTCCCTTTGATTTGAAGGAGTTTGCATATTTTAAATTGTCTGCTATTTTCCAATTTTAAGGGTGTTACATCTAACATGCAACCGTTAGAGGGAAGGACCAAATCTTGACGTTTTTGCATATCATGATAACCATCTTGTAATATTGAAACTGTAGGCACAAAAAATGTTATAAATGACAAACCACATGAAAGAAATTTGTAGTTTACTATGATTTTAACTATTTTAACCACTAAGGTTGAATATGTAATTTCATTTTAAAGATTTTGATGTTTCATTATTTTATTTTTAAAAAAAGTTATAACATAGTTGGAGATGTTTTAAAGCATATAATAAATATGCAAATGTATATAAAGTATAGAGATTATTTTCACTGTCAAGCTTACCGCTTCACCTTCCTTACAACTGAAAAAGATTTCATGCTACAACTATTCAAAAGAGGTAGAACAAACCAAAGGACCTTTGGTCTAACGGTATCATAGTCTTTGGCCTCCGAAGAGGTCAGAGGTTCAAACCTTACCAAAGGTGAGGAGGGTGTGTGAGTTTATTTGTTGCATTTGCAGTATATAAATATTATATACTTTAAAAAAATAGGTAGAACAAAGATTAGGGAGATGTGATAAGATTGACAAATTACTAAACTAACTACGTTAAATTAAAACCCTATCCAGTCCTGTCAGCATACCCAACACATTATGGGTCTCCTCTAGCAAATTAAGTAAACTTTAGAATGGTGAAAAGGATAATCACCTTAACAAGTTCCAAGCTCTCTTTAAAGCTGTATACATTCTGCACAACATATAAAGTCATAAAACACGAACCGAAAAGACATCTGAAAGTTACCAAGATTCATGTCATGTAATAAAATTAACAAGATTCAGCTTTTACCCTGGCTACTTGGGTAGAGGCTCATCAACCTTCACTTCCATGGAAACCAAAAAAGAATTAATCCATTGGCTCAAGTATGTCTTCGAGTGCTATTTGGCAGTTGCTGGATGGTTTGGTGCAAGATGATTAAGTGGTCAGGATGATTAAGGGACTCCTATGATATAGTGGAAAATGAAATATGGTTGCTTGGTAATTGTTCAGAATGAAATTAGGGTGCTGAATGGTTTAGGGAGGCTCAAGATACAAAATCATTCAAAGAGTTTTAGAACCATTAGGAAGCAGACTTTTATTTACCAAACAAGATTTACCTCATCTAGAGGTTGCCTCTTAATAGAAGGGAGACAAATTGAGGGCAAAAATAGGAGGTGCACAATTGAGTTAGGGGTCAAAGAAGGATGTCCAATGATAGCATTAGGTGGTGCAAAAAGATAGTACTGGTAACCGTGGATGTCCGGACCAGCTCAACTAATCTCATGAAGATAACAAGAAAGAAAACCCCCAGGAGGACACCTGAACCAGCACCTCAAGGCCTAGACTTGGCTTGCCCGTTGGGCTAAGCTCAGAGGGGTTCAGATAGTACGAGCTTACTACATGTAGCAATTGATTTTCCTTAATGGCAAAACCACTATCCACCAAGGCTGCTCGAACACCTTGAGCAACATCACTTGGACATGACATCCATAGTGATGCAGTATTTGACATCCAGGAGATGTGTTATCATGAAGAGTGATATAACAGTATCTTAATCTCTACTCATTCAAAGGCATTGTATCAATAAGATGCATATACATTTGGTTATAATTTGTCTTTCTATATATATATATATAAATTCCTTAGCTTTGATCATGGAAGGTTGCTTATATGCAAACTCTCATCTAGCACATGACCCTAAATGGCACTCAAAATAGGATACAACTGCACCCTAGTAAAAGTATTCCACTTATAGAAACAAACAAGTCTGAATATGATGTTCAAATGTAACCAACTAGATACAATAATCTTTCCATGCTCACAAGCGGGTCAGATATCCAGGTTAATCAAAAAAAAAAAAATTTGCATAAAAGATTTGAGAATTACCATAAAATAACTACCTGTTTGAATATTTCATTTTCTTTCTCTTGCTCAAAGTTTCTTTTCTTCAACAATTGAGGAGCCTGCATCAAACAACAAAATAAATTTAACATACGGTTCGAAAAACATAAGAACCATGCTAAAATTAACAAACGCTTCGATATAGATGGTACTCTATCCAGTCAACATTGAGTTCCCTGTATTCACAACTCGGCCTTCGAGCATATATCAAGCTGGTAAAAATGCATGAAGAAAACTCCATAAATTAATGATTTACCTTACTTTTTATACTTACAACACAACAGTTGAAATTCAAACAACGTTTAAAACTCTAGCGGAACTCTATTGACATCAACTACACTTGCATGACTTTACAAAAACTCGTTACATAGATGGTGGAAGTTTTCTCTTCGGCCGTCCCAGTTTTTTCTTCTTTGGATGACCGATTGGATTCTTCTCAATAGGTACCCCAACTTGCATGTTCTTTATATTATCAGGCGTTGTCCATTCATCCTCGTTACCACAAGGATATATAGTTTCTTTATATGTCTCTCTCCAATTCTCTACGGTATAAAATGAAGAACAAAGTGAGTATATGTTCACCCCCCATTTCATTGCTGCAGCCACCGCATGAACACATGGGATTCCAATGATTTGAAACATGCCACAAGAGCATGATCTAGTCAACAAGTTAACTTCCGACTCACTCGTCTCATCTACCACAAGAAATTCATTTTGGCCAAAAAATTGAATATTCATGAACCTTGATTTGTCAGCTATTCTCGTCAAATCAGTCTCCGTAAGGTTGGACAATATTGCGGTACATTTGATGGCTTCATCTCTCCGTTCACAAAACCATGTCTGCAGAGTGAATCTAATGAATTCCACAAAAGTAGTAATTGGGAAGGTTCTGGCCTCCTTCGTTTTGGTGTTGAAGCTTTCAGCATAATTGCTTGTCATTATATTATATCGATTCCCAGGAAAATAAGCACGAGACCACCTATCAAAACCGATACCCTCGAGATACTCGGCTATTGCAGGATTCATTTCTTTTATTGCATCAAAGTGCTTTTGAAATTCTGTCTTGCGAAAGGCATGTGCCGCCAAAAACATGGTCTGGTGACAGTGGTCAGTCTTGAACTTATGTTTTACATTCATACTAATATGGTGGTAGCAAGCACCATGGTAGGCATTTGGAAAGACCGTCTCGAGAGCATCAACAATGCTAGTATGCCTATCTGAAACAAAAGCTAAGTTGTCGACGTCCCCAATTACTTCCTTCAACTTTCTCATGAAATAACAATAAGAGTTGTGGTTCTCACTGTCGACAATAGCATGAGCAATTGGAAACAATTGGTTATTAGCATCCAATGCAACAGCACATAGCATGTACCCACCATATTTTGTCTTTAGAAATGTGCCATCCACGCATATAACAGGGCGACAAGCTTTAAATCCAATTCTAGATGCTCCAAGGGCAAAGAAGCAATAAAGAAAGTGGCCATCTTCTGTCACAAAGTCGGTAATCGTACCTGGATTCCTTTCTTGCAGCATGTACAAATAAGCAGGCAACTTGGAATATGAATCGCCGACTGCACCCCTCACATACATTAGTGCTTTCTCTCTACATCTCCAAGCCTTCTCGTAGCTCATATCGATCCCGTATTGTTTCTTCATATCCCCTCTTATGTCATTTGCCAAATAGCTAGTTCCTTCATTGACATATTTGTTCTTGATTAGGTGGCCAACTATCCATGGTGCTGCTTGGCGGTGGTCTTTCACACCAACAGCCAATGAGCAAGCATGCTCACCACGATATGAAGTAATCCTAAACATTGAGGACCCCTTCAATTTCTTGCCCCTCAATCTCCAAAAGCAATGAGGATCCTTACATGTAATGTACCACACATCAGTACCGGACTTCTTCACCTGAAACTCAAAATTACTCTTCATGGCATGAAGGGCTGCTTTGGTTTTCAGTTCAATCTTGTTGTCAAATGTCTGACCAATAAATAATTCTCCTAAAGGAATGATAGATGTGGATGAATGATTTTGGTTGGAGGCCATTATATCCTCTTTTGTAAACATTGGAGCACTCCATCTTATAGGCTTTTGTACAATATTTAATTGTAAATTCTCCTGAGGACTGCTGCTTGTCCCCAATGCTTGTCCTTCGTCATCGTTACTTAAATTTGCAACATGATCATCATTCAAAATAGGAATGGGATCTGCTCCTGAAACAAGAGCCTTAGCTGCACTACGAGTCTTCCTAGCAAATGTGGGGGATGGATCAACATTCTTCCTCTTCTTCTTCTTCTTTGGAACACAAGTCAAACCCTCAAATCTCGCTTGTTTAATGCTGGGAGAGTTGCACAATTGAGCAACAGGTGCATCCTTATTCACCAGAGTCACACATAAAGGAGTCCTTTTCTTCAATGTTTCTTCCATAAATACTGTAACATGGAAATCTCTTTTAATATGAATAGGTTTAAATGGTTGTCCATCCATTGTGTATGCAACCTCCAGTTTAAGATCATACTTCAGCTTATCGATCTCAAGTGCATCATACAAAATGTCGGTTATTTGCATGTACGTTACATCCTTGTCTATTGGAATGGATGAACTCTCGGCATCCTTGAAAATCCAATAAGTGCCATCTACTTCCCAAACACCATTGTAAGAAACGAAGACGTTCACCTTTGAACCTGGATGCAACAAAATAAGGTTAAAAACTAGACTTGGAAAAGCAAAATCATAGTTAATCAAGCACCATGAAACCACTACTCAACCAAATTGAGCAAATAATAAAGAACACTGCAATTAACACATAACCTACTTAGTGAGCTCAATTAGGCTCAATGCAACCCAAAGGGCATCAAGCAGCTTCAAAATAGCTTATTAATTAAATTCAACAAACATGTCTCAAATATGTCCAACTCCTATCGAGCATCGTCTTCAACCTAAGTTTACTGCATATATCGAGCTTCTGTCAAGCTCTTATTAGACCCCAATCAAGTAAAATAGATCTTAAAAACCACAGGAAAACGAAAAACCAAGTTAAGCATATTATTGTAGTAGGATAATAGTAGAGCATATAATTGAACTAGAGGCCACATTAAGCATAGAAACTCAAATTACCATATACAAATCATTTTCATATTCCATTTGACATCAGAAACGTAAATAGGCCTCTATTTTCACAGGGAGGCTAATGATAATATAAATGGGTGTTTGGGATTGCTTATTTGAAACAAGTTATGCTTAATAACAAAAGCACTTATCAACTTATTATAAGTCAGAAGGGTTTAACTTCTTCAAAAACTGTTTATTACCAGTTTAACATCAGTATAAGTTGTTTATCAAAACACTCAAAAGTACTTATTACCGGTGCCACATCGGAATACGCTAATAAGTTGTTTTTACAAGCAATCTCAGACACCCCCTAATTGAAAAATGTTCTAGAATAATTAAACACATGGAACGAGCACATACCAACGCGAGGAGGCAACGGGGAAGGATCTTCTGACCTTTCATCCATGGCTGAAGATTCCTAGAACACAAACTAAAAAATAAAACAATCATCATTGGAAATAGAAGATTAAGCAACTTCAAAGAAACACCCACCCCAAATCACCAAGATACGGTTTCAAGCAACAATTCATGCTAGAAAGAACACTCTGTATATCAAAAACAAGTAACAGTGTATCCAGTGAGTAAAAGCGAACGCTTTCAAGATCTTCGTCAGAATTACAGAGCAAAGAAACCGAATAATTCAAAAGAATAGCAGAAAACTATTAGAGGTGAAATCAAAACAAGGTCAAACAAGAACACAACCCTAAATTCTTTGAACATGGTGAGAAACACAACCCTATACATACATGTGATGATTAATCAGAGCAAGAAGAGCGATTGAAGTTACCTAGGAAGAAATACGTAAGCCCTAATGATCAGATCTGAGCAGAAGAAGAAAGGGTATCTTGTTCCAGCAGAAGGGTTTCTAATTTTAGGGATTTTTTGGGATATTTAGGTTATTGACCTTCCATGGATCCCCGTTTTGCAAAAATGACCTCCTCTGTTCATTTTCTTTGTTCTTGAATTAAGAGATATTTTGTAAATATTAAACTATCCGAAAGTAGAAAGATAAAATTGAAGCAAATGACCATGAAACATTTGAGTGGGTGATTCAGGTATATAAAAAAAATTCTGGATTTTTAGGTATATAATTTTAAAATGGAAGTTTAATTAAGGGGATGTTTACCCAAATACTTATCCGGTAAGTGCTTACCTGTAGTAGTCAATACTATAATCTATTTTATCAGATAAGATTATAGTATATTAAAGCGGTATCGTATGCAACAATTTACTTTGTGAACGCTTACCCGGATAAGAGTCATCACCATCACTTACAGGGTAAGACTCTCTATCCCTATTATCGCTCTTACTGGGTAAGATTTTCAGCTCTTGTCATGTGCATCAGGTGAGGAAAGTTACCGAATCCACACTTACTGGGGTAAGTAATTAGTAAACGACCCCTAAATATATGACTTTCTCAAGAATAGAAAACTATTTTTTTTCTAGAGTCCTTCGTTCTTGTGCTTTATTGAAAATTATGGTTTTCATTCCTAGTCTTTATTTGTTATGTAGGTGGTCCCTATGATTTGTATTTTGTTTTCACTTTCGTCCCTGAGACTATAGGTTGTCGGTTGATTCTATTAACTCAAGGGTGGTCTAGTCTTTTTCTTATTAAATTTGTACTACAATGTTATATATATATATATATATATATGTGTGTGTGTGTGTGTGTGCGTGTGTATGTGTGAGAGAGAGAGAGAATACATGCAGACACAAACCTTTCCCACGTTTTTTTTTCTCTGTGTCTCATTTCTCCTCATCCCTGTCGGTCGTTCCACATAACAATCTATGATGACCTCCTCCTTCGGTGAATACACTAAGATTTCACTATGATGACCTCTACTATCTTTTTTGTCGTCCTCCCTTATGTTCCCAATCGCCACTGTAGAAGGACCCATCAGTGTTGTGTTTTTCTCTTGCAACCTAATCCTCCAACCCTATCCCACTCCACTTCTCCTGCCCTCATCGCTTCTTCATCACTCCCAGAGTGCGGTGAGCTCAAGAATTGATGAACAAATCAAAATGATTAATAAATCTGTTAAACAGGGTCACTGTTGTAAAACCTAAGAAACTTATGTTGACTTTTGAGACTTTTCCTGTCAATTTCTCCGATAACTCTCCCTGGAACTCAAACACATATATACACTTTGTAACTGTAAGACCCCTAAAATAGGAGCAAATTTAAACCGTAAAAGTAAATACGGAAATGGAACTTTGAATAAATATGATCACCCAATAGATGGGGGAAAATGTAAGCATTTACAATCAATGTATAAGAATAGTGGCTAACAACCTAATAATATAAACTAACTAGGTAATGATTAATATCGAGTACCTATAAGATCTTCAAAAGATTTCTAATCAATGCTATGAATCTTCCAAAAGTGAATGCCCTTAATGGCAACCACCACTCCGCTCATATATAGGGAGCCCCACTAGTATGAGATCCTGATATACATGTCATTTAAGAAGAAAAAAATGTTAGACTTAACGTCTAGTGAGAGCAGACAATTATAGAATAAAACGATAAACCATTTAAAGCCAGAAACATAGCTTTAATCATGTCATTTTATATAATTAAGATTATATTTACCCTTGGAAGGGTGAAAAGCATCATAATATGATGGGGGAGACCCGATTTATCATTGACAGTGACGGAACACAACAGTAAGCCACATCACAATGTTATAGAGTATTTATTATGGAACATTGATCATCGATTTCAACCACACATGGTCGATTGGCTAGAATTAGATATTTACGGGACACACGATCATTAAGTTCAACCACCCACAGTTTATAGTTCGAGTTCTCAAGTGATTTAATACCTGTATCTAGCTAACAAAGGGGAGCAACTATCCCACATTATGTATAAATATTGAATGACCAATGCATTCAAAAACATTACAGTCTAAATTACATTGCTCTAATTGAATGACCAACGCACTCAATTCAAATAAGTATAATAAATGCAAATCATGCCAGCACTCAACATAGAGAAATTTAAATGTCCCCAAAAACTTCATTTAAACCAATATCAAATCAATAAAACCCAAAACTTATTTGACTACCCAATTAAAAGCCAACAAAGGTCAATAAAATGCATTTGCACAATAAATAGGCAAACTCATGTTCGAAAAGTATGATTGACTCAAAAACTCATCATTAGTTGAGACAAATTATTTTTCTAAATGAAATCATACCATTTATATTTCCAAAATGTCTTATAACACAATAATATGCATTTTTCAAATGGTTTATAAAAAACAAATACACGAAGAGTGCATTAACACCAAATAACTTCCATTTATACAATAAACCATGAAAAAAACATACTTATAATTTATTTATCAAAATGTCCAATAAAACCAAAATATAAGCATTTTACAAGATTCATAAAATCAACTACACCAAAGATTCTCATTCAATAATCGATACATTTGATAAATATCAAGTAAAACACTTCAAGACTTTAAAATGAACATTTTTGACATGTACATATTTTTTTATGAAACAACTTGAAACTCACCTTACTAAGTTATGTTAAACCTAGGTTCCAAACCCATCTTCATCTTCTAAAATGATGAAAACTTAAGATCCACAACATCCATTTCTAGATACTTTATCTAGGTCACAACCAGACTTGGAAATGCACCAAAAACAACCCCGATATCAGATCCACAGCAAAACCCTAACTAGATCTCAAAACATCCAAAAATCTTACCTCTTTAAGAACATGAAGATCCCTACAAAATATCTTGAAGCCTTTAGGTTAGATCTTCTCCAAAAGCTCCAAAATGCTCCAAAAGGGACCTACAATTGGACCCAAGGAGAGAAAATAAGAGAGAAAGAAGAAGAATGAAAGGAAAATATGGAAAGAAGATGGTCAGCCAAGCTTTAAAGTTCCAAGTGCACAGATGACTAACAAGGCGACTTAGGTTGCTTAGCCTAAAGTCGCTTAGACTCCCTACACACATAGGCCGCACACCCTGTACGCGTGTGACTTCTTTGTGCGGCTTAGGCCACTCGGTAGGTCCCCTTCGCCTCTGTTTCCTTTTCCTTCCAACTACACAACCTGTGCCACATTCCAGTGGCTTGGGCGACTTTTTCGGCGGCTTAGGTTGCCCAGGAAGTCACCTAGACTTCTTGAAGGCTCTGATATGTTGAAGACATGATCAAATATTCATAGCTAAACATTATCTTTCCCAAAAATAATACTGAAATCAATTATGGGTGTTACATAGTCACACGAGGGAAGTTGGTCATTTTCCACAAAGATGATTTTTGTTACTTATCCATATTCTTCCTCCCTCATTTGTTTCTTCTTCAATCCATATTCAGTAATAAATAGTCAACAACATTTAATGACAATAACCAAACATCCAAACATGTGTGATACAAAATCATAAGTTAAGAACATGGTCATTACAAGTAACATCAAAAACATTTTATTTATTTCCAAAAAGTTATGGAAACTCATTCCAATAATTGGAGATACAAAACCATAAATCAAAAATCCTAAAATCAATTACAACATAAAATATTATCAAACCCTAAACCCCTAATCGGTGGTAGATTGCCATGGTGAGTTCAGATTTGTTGAACCCTTGATTGAAGTTCAGACATGTTGAAGCCATATCTCCTTGAACACCCAACGTTAATCGAACTTACTTAGCTCGTAACCAAATTATGATTCATGTTCCCGGCTCATCCTTGTCGATGAAGCAAATTATTTTGTAGTAGTTTATGCTTGAACTTTAAATTTGTGTTTGATTTTTTTTTTTTTTTTTATTTTTATCATTTATCATTTATTTTTTATTTTTGTTATTGTGATTAATTAGAGATTTAATGCTAATTTAGATTCCAGTGACTTTGATTTTGTGAATCTTGGACTTCTGTTTATTAATGCTTTTGAATGATTTTGTTGATCTTGTTACTTTGTTTACTTTATTAGTTATTTAGTCATTTATATTAGGGTTTTCATCTTTTTTTTTCGATTAATCTTGATATCCAACCCACTATCGTAATTTGCGGGTAGCCCGGAGTCTCCACATTTGAACCTATGTGGCAACAAGTGGATTTTTTATTCCTCTTTGGATTCGAACCTGAGACCTCCAGACACTTTTGACCTTTGGAGTCCAAGCTTAAACCAATCGGACACTATCCTTGTGGTTGGTTTATCATCTTACTTGCTACACCTTTGTGCTTTGGATACCATTTCTTTCTTTAAACAGGGGAAACCATTTAGCTATTGTTCATTGAGTTTTTAAAAGAAAATATTATGGTTTTGCTTAGGATCCTGAGGAGACATTCAAAGATTTTATAAACATAATGGTCATACATTTGAACATCATTACTAAGTGGATATCTTTTATGAAGCAAATTATTAATCAACCACTTTGATGAACGATTTTTGAATATTCCATATCTTTTTTCTTGTTTAGAAGTTTTAATATGTTATAACTTTGGAAAAGGGTTTTTTGTGCTTTTGAAGAATTATATTCTACCGAGAAGAAACAAATTGGGCATATCATCTATTTGACATATTTGTATAAGAGATTAGGTTCACCTCTGTGTTATAAGTCTTGTGTTTCACCCCTGTAAAGATCTCACCACATTTGTAATTGGTATAAAACTTTTGAAAGAAGCAATCGTTTTAACAAACCGTTTCTTAAGAAGTTGGCAACACTAGCTAGGGTGGCACATTGGGGTACTGTAGAAGCATCGTTGAACCCTTAAACTTTGCACTCAAGAAGCTACACAACACAAATTAGTTTTTGGCACCTTTACTTTGTTATTGTTGCTAATCAAACCATAAGTTGAACCTTGTTTTTTTGGATTATATAAGACATCAATTAGATTCCGAGCCCTTAGCGATGAGAGAGACATGGGACAGGTGAGAATGAAAAGGAAGAGAAAGATAGGTTTTGAGTTGAAGGCTGAGACAACCACCATGGAGATGGTTAGTGGTGTTCCTGAACAGTCCTTGTCGAAGCCTACCAAAAAGGAGATGTATAGTCGTGGTGACGGAGGAGGGTGGGCGCAAACGATGAGAGGGGTGGTGGTAGGTTAAGCTTAGATTTTGTTTATTATTATCATGATACATGTTTGTAGACAATTTAAACATTAGCATGTGAGGGGTAATTGACGGATGAGTTTAACATTCGTTAAAGCCAGAGCTATATAAAATCCATAAAAAAATAAAAAACTATAGGGATTACCGATGTAATTTCAAAACCCCGTGGACTAAACCCAGAGATTTGGTTAACCAATGGACGGATTTTGAAATTTACTTCAATTATTATGATCTTATTTTTAATTTTTTTTGAATCATTGTGTTATCCGTATCAAGTCATCAATTTATAAAAATGTCAATTTATCAAATTAAGCCAATGTATTCAGCCAAGTTTATTTCTCTAATTGTGCTTTCTTGACGTGATAGTTTTCTTAAGAGAGATGACCGCAAAAGTAAAACATATAAGTCACTACCCGAACATTTCATGAGGCTCGTTAAACCAATCATGGTCTGTTTTCCACTCCAAGAACCGTATACATGATTTTCATTTCATACAAATAACGTGTTAGGAAATTCCACATTTTATCACTTCATCTATTGGGAACGTAATTTTTATTGGCATTCAACTAAAACACGTTAATAGGATCAATTTACTCAATAAACCATCATTTGTATTATTCATCTTGAACTTTTAGTTAAAATAAAAATACCCAAATGGATTGTAATTTCTTAGAAAATGTTTTAATATTTCTTTTAATTAGTACAAGTTGGTAGCCATCAGGTGGCTTCATATGCTTTGTCTACACTATATATGTTTGTTGGTGTATATATATATATATATATATAGAGAGAGAGAGAGAGAGAGAGAGAGAGAAAGAGATTTGTGCAACCAATAACACAATCTCAACCGTCCATTTCATTTAATTAATATGTGATTTTATATAAGTTTTGATTGTTTCCTAATATAAAGTATTGATCATAATTAATTAACCATATTCATCTTTCATATATATTTAAATCATAATAAATGAACTCTCATCATTTTTATAAATACATCAATTTATTGGGTTGTATTGGTTGTACAAATGCGATGAGTTGTATTTGAAACAAACTTTATATATATATATATATATATATATATATATATTTATTTATTTGAGATCATGTGAGACCAGCTTGTTTTCGTGAGACCCGTGAGATCACATTTTTACACTTGGAACTTCACAGCAAAATGCGGTGAAGGTGACTTTTTTTAACTTTCACAGTGTTTTTGCTGTGAAGGTTCGAATATTTTTAGCCTTCATAGTGTTTTTGCTGTGATGTTTACGTGTAAAAATGTGGTCTCACGGGTCTCACGAAAACACGCTGGTCTCACGTGAACCCAACCCTATATATATACATAGGGTTGGGTTCACGTGAGACCAAAGGTTTTTCATGAGACCCATAAGACTAATTTATGTTTATTAATCAACTTTATAAGCTAATGATCTAATGGTCTAAAGTTGCACGGTGACAATTTTGTGATTATTGAGAAGTCTCGTGGCAATTTTGTGATTATGAATGTTCAGATTGTAAATTTAATCCAATGATTAAAAATTGGTCTTACAAATCTTACGAAAAACCCTTTACATGATTTTAAGTCTATCCATATATATATATATATATATATATATATATATATATATGGGATCGTTCAAATAAAAACCATTCAATTTGTAAAAACCGTGAAAACCTCATTCAACCAATCATAATTTTTCATTTTGTTCATTTTTTTGTAATTATGAGAGGTTGATTAACCATTTTTATTGTGGAGGGT